TCCTTTGGCATTCATCTGATCTTTCTGTCAGACCTGTAATGCCCAGTAGAAAAGCTGATAAAGTGTCAGATGTTATTCCTTCTCTTCCATTTGAGGCCCTGCAACCATCTGATTTTGTAAAGATGTCCAAGGAGCAGCTGGATGCACTCACCAACAGAATCATATCCATTTTAAATGGAAATACTAGCATTGGGGAGAAGCAGAATGTGATTAGATACCTTGAGATGTTGAGTAGCAATGCTGACACAGCTAATATTCTGACAAATGGGCCAATAATGCTCCTGCTTGTTAAAATGCTTCGGCTGTCCAAGACCTCAGCTTTGCGTGTTCAGCTTGCTTCATTGATTGGATTGTTAATTCGTCATTCAACTTTTATTGAAGATGATTTGGCAAATTCTGGAATTTTGGGCTCGCTAACTGATGGCCTAAGAGACAAACAGGATAAAGTGAGGAGATTTTCCATGGCTGCTTTAGGTGAGTTGTTGTTTTATATATCTACCCAGAACGATCAGAGCAAGGATAACAATCCACCAGAATCTTCATCAAAGGACAGCCGATCTGCATTTGGCTGGCAGGTTAGCTTTCTACCTTTCACAAATATCTTCTTGTGTGCTATATTGCAGGAAACATGATTTTTCCACTCAATGAAGTTTCATTTTTCTATCTTGTCTTTTCATCTGCGCGCATCTGGCAGATTCTGTATAGTGGAGACTGTCCTTTGTTTTTCCTATAATTCATGGATTTAAAAAATCATGCTCGATAGCAAGTTCTGCTTATATGGGATGCCTGAGTTCTTTATGCATGCTTTCCTTCTCCTTTCCTACTTCTACTTTCTTCATTTAATAATATTCTTTTACCTGAAGCAGGTTCCAAACTCGTTGATTTCACTGGTATCATCTGTTTTGCGTAAAGGAGAGGATGATATAACTCAACTTTATGCATTGAGGACAATTGAAAACATTTGCAGTCAAGGGGGACACTGGCCAGCTCGCTTCACTAGCCAGGATGTGATTAGTAACCTCTGTTATATATATAGAGCTGCAGGGAAACAAGAGAGCATCAGGCTGACTGCAGGTTCGTGTTTAGTCCGGCTGGCAAGATTCAACCCTCCTAGCATTCAATCAGTCATGGAGAAACTGTCTTTCAAGGACACAGTGTCTGCCCTTGGCAGGGGCAGCCCACGTGAGCAACAAATAAGTTTGAACCTCTTAAACATGGCTATGCTTGGAAGTCATATGTTTACAAACATTGGGCGGCACCTTTCAAACTTGGCAGAGGATAAGAATTTGGTACCAAGTCTCCTGTCTCTTACTGAGCAGGGTGGTGAAATTTTGAGGGGGAAGGCACTCCTTTTCATTGCTCTTCTTTGTAAAAATGGCAGGAGGTGGCTATCACACTTTTTTTGCAACCCTAGGTTACTATCTGCAGTGGATAGGCTAGCGAAAGAGAAGGATATCTATCTCCAACAATGTGTAGATGCATTTGTGCATGTTGTGGCATCTACTATACCAAGTTTACTGGATATTATAGCTGGAGATATTCAGCAAATGATGGGAGGAAGGCGTCAGGGTCATATCTCTGCCATTGCACATCGAATTGCTCCAAAAACCAATGTTCATATGTTTCCCGTTGTTCTTCATCTTCTTGGAAGTTCTTCTTTTAAGCTGAGGGTGGTGAACCATCAAGTTATGCAGCAGTTGGCAAATTTGGTCAAAGTTATGGAGACACCATTTCCGGTAGGAAGCTGATTATCTCTTATTTTTACCTTTATTTTTCATTTCTCCTCTTAACTGAATAAAACTTTAGGATATATAGTGTTATGTAGTCATCATTTGGCTAGAATTCCTTATCTAGCTGTAAATCATTAAAAATGCAGTTATGACGACTGAGGTACAAATGCTACTCGTCTTGACCAGTAAAATTAGGGTATTACATGGTTGGCAAAATGCCAATTAAAGAGGAAACGTAACACACCTGACATATATAGGATGTGGCAATTCCTTATTTTGCTTATTTAATTAGACTCAATTCAATTGCTTTGCAACCTGATGTGGAAAATGGTTAGATGCCGAAGGAGAGGTACATAGCTTGTGAAATATAATGCTTGGACGAGTATTGATCCATTATACATCAAGATGTAGGATGAAACATTGCACCAAATGCAGTGATCAACAATTTATGTGCATAGCTCAGATGGATTTGGAGTAGAATTTTCTAAAGCAGACATCTCCACAATTATCTTCTTGTTTATTTTTTGTGAAAGACATAATTTTTTTATGATGAGGGAGAACTTCGGATCACCACAAGGGGCAAAATAATGATTCAAACATTGAATGACATTTTTTTTGTTTAATTTCCAGGGAAGAGATGACTTCCAAATAACCCTTCTTCGAGTTCTTGAATCTGTTGCTGAGGAGTGTCTTGTAATTCTTGAAAGCCCCAACATTTTCATTGGTGAAATCCTTCCTGGTCTAGCTGTTCTGTACAAGGGCAACAAGGATGGTGATGCCAGATTTTTGTGCCTTAAAATTCTGTTTGATGTGATGATCATTTTCTTGAATGAACCTTTGGAAGATGACCAAAGATCAGAGGCTTTAAAGTCCATATCCATTATTCATTTCCTACCTCTCTACCCTACCTTTATTGAAGATGAAGATCCCATTCCCATGTATGCGCAGAAGCTCCTTGTGATGCTCATTGAGTACGATTACATAAAAATTTCAGACATTCTACATCTGAAGACGGTGTCACAGTGCTTTGAATTTTTGCTTGGTGACCTATCAAGTGCTAATGTCAATAATGTTCAGCTGTGTCTGGCTATGGCATCAGCTCCTGAAATGGAATCTAAGTTGCTTTCTCAATTAAAAGTGGTGAGGCGGATTGGAAACCTTTTAGAGTTTGTGTGTGCAAAGGACATGGAAGACTTTCTTGAGCCAACTCTTGGCTTGTGTAGGGCATTCCTTCTATGTTCGGTTGGCGGTAAAAGAGGACTTGCGTACAGAAAAGAGCCAGCACTTCTAAATGATTCTTCTTATGAAGCAAGCACTGCAGCTGATCAACTGCAATGCGTAAGAGATATAACGGACTTTGGTAGCAGTGTAGGTGTTCTGCTGGTGTTGAGTGGGTCCGATGAAGCAAACGTTGCAGATATAGCTTCCGAATGTGTGTTATTGGTGCTGAAGGCAGCTCCAAGGGAAGCCACAACTGGTTTTCTAACTAACCTTCCGAAGGTTAGTGCAATCCTCGAGTCTTGGCGCAAGGGTGTTCCTCACTTACTCTTGCAGCGGATACTGCATGCTCTTGCTTATTCTTGTCGGCAATATTTGTCGCATGCGATGATACTATCCATCTCTGTAAATGAGATTTCAAGGATTGAAGTCATTCTCTTGGAGCTGAAAAATTCAAGCAATCCTGATTTAGCTAATGCTGCTTTGCTTGTGGTCTCAGAGTTGCAGCGCCTACATCGTTGCATTTGAAGTTTTTGAAGTCCTTAAGGTTGTTTGCTGGTTTCTTTGCCCTTGGTTTGTTTCCTAAAGTTCAGGATTGACATCTATCGGTGTCCCTATTATTCGCAGGTATGATGCAATTTGGCTCGTAAAAAGCATGTGGAAGAATTGTTTCCTGCATTCTATAGAATGCATCACAGTCCTGCCCCCTACGTCTTGAGGTGAGCTCAATCTTTAATGCATATAGAACCCTCTTAAAGGCCTGCTTATGTATAATCTTTGTAAGCTTTATGTCATTGTCATGAACATGCAATCAATTAATTTTTCCTCTTGGAATCTACCTAAAAGTGACTTGGTCAGATTTGCGCATCCTTTTCCTGTTCTTTGAGACTGCCTTAGGCATCGTGTGAAATAAATAGATATCTTCTAATGACTTGGAAATTGGACGCGCTCACTTACTGTTGGTTCACCACGCGCGCTGGAAGGACATCCCAAAATTTTGAACTCACTTGGAATTTGAAAGCTTATGCTTTTCAGTTGACCGAGTCATTGGCTCGGTGATTAAACAAGACCCATTAAGCTGAACTCACAATTTGACGCGTTCATGTGCTCAAATTATTTTGATCTAAGGCTAGGTGGTTATTAACGCGATCCCGAGTTGCATATACTTTAGATTAGATGAAGGGTTGATCTAATCGAATCACACACCCATGATTACTGAACAAAGACCTAGGATGACTGGTTTGAAATATGCCCGTTGTCCAGAAAAAAGTTAGCGGTAAAAGGACAATGGCATTTTGGAAGCAGGCATTGCATAACTCAGGCAAGGGTTCAGATGGCATTTATATGTTAGCTTATAGCCTTAAATAAGGTGTTAGATTGTAGCAAGTTTCTGGGATCTCGATGCTGATGACCGCTGCGGTCATTGTACCTTCACTCACCTATGTTATCTTTGATAAGCTTTGCCACGGACAGCTGTGGCCGCTCGCAGTGGTTGTGCCTAGCGGTCTGTGCTAGCTGCTAATCATGCATGGTGGACCCGGAAGCCATGGGTGTGTGATTTGTACGCATGGATAGGATCGGTAACTGCATGCAGCTGCAGCGTTCCTCGACAAACTTTTCATCATTCTTAAGTTGAGTGGTTGGCTTCAGCCAAGTTTATACTGCTCCTTGGTATTACCTCTTAACACACAATTTCCATCAAGTTCAATGCATGGTAATTAAACTTGTCCGTACCGAGTCATGAAGTTAAACTAGTTATCTCCTGCTAACTTGAGTTATTTCATTTTTTTATATATATAAAAAGGGCTAAAACAACACTGTTTTGTAATTTTTTTAAATTAAAAATCAAATTAGGCTGTGTTCAAGTTCGTTGAGTCACTGATTGCCATGACAGTCGATCTCGTTAAATCATCATCATTATCCTAATATTAGCGCACCCAAATTTACGGGACACAAGGAATCTACTCGCAACTAAATTCAACCAATCTTTGTCTCTTCCCCGTACATGCCAACGTGCAAATTTTCATCTCCACCCTCTTCATCATATAACATGTTGAACAGGACCCCACCTGATGCCCCAAGTCAACTTTGAAATGCCTCCATCATAACTGGCACCAAAACTTCTCACACTGTCAACTGGCACCCCCTTCTTCTCGAACAAAACTTTAATTGCCCCATATCATATTATCTGTCCAATTAAGTGTGGCATTGATTTCTTGATCATTATAATGGCCTCCTTTTGGTTTCTTACAGTACTCATTGTGCCTCTGGTGATCTTTCCTTTGCCTTCTTCTTCCACTCAGCTAAATTCGAAAACCTCTCCTTATCCTACCTCTACTTCACCAGCATTCTTAACCAATTTTCCTCCTATACCTCCCTTCCAAGAACTGTCACCAGACATTGCTCCACTACTGCCTTCCCCTGGTGGTGTGCTGCCTTCCCCAACCTCGTCCGTTCCCACCATTCCATCCACCCCAAGCCCGCCTAATCCGGATGAGGTGGTCGCATCAGGGCCTGATTCTGCGTTCTCGCCCCTTGGAGCGTTGTTGGCTTCCTCTGCAGCACCTCGAAACTTGATGAACTTGGTTATTGTTGTGGGGTTTATAGCATATCGATCAATTCAGCTGTTTAAAATGTGAGTCATTTGGTAGCTAAATGAGCCGAACCTTCTGAAAAGAGTAATTGATTCTATGGTTCTACTGTTTCCATGTTCATCTTTGAAGTAAAAAACATAATGTAAGTTATTATTCTTCTGATGAGTTCATGCATTGCCATAGATTGTCATTTTTTGTAAGGTAAACCATCTTAAATCATGAACTGGTTGCAGTCTTTAATATCTGCATCTCTTGAGAAGCCTAGTGCCTCTGCAACTAGGTCATGTCACAGGTGTTTCGATGAATATAGTGCCGGTTCTTGCCAGGAAAGGTCTCTCCGATCCTGGCTGGAGTAGCAATTGGATTCCTGCTGGCACATGGATTTGATCAGGATCAATATGGGAACCATCCCAATTATTTCTATCCTGTGCATCTGACAAGCACAAAAAAGAGTTTGAATTAGGTAATCATTTGTTGAAAAACCTTTCACATGCTAACTAATCATGATTAATTTAATGATGTTTTTTTCAAAAATAATAAAGCTTTTTATATGCTTTTCACCATCATCATTGTTCCTTTTTGGGAAAAAGGTTGTCCTATGTGTTCCAAGTGAAAACCAAAGTCTAACCACCTCAACATGACAACCTGGGATCAATTACGGTGGGGAAGCTTCAAAATTGAATAAATTCTTAAAATAGTGAAAAAAAATTAAAAAGAAAAGATCAATTACATAGATAAGTTTAGATTTAATGATATTAGCTAAAGAGTTGAAATTTATTTTAAGTTATCAAAAAATAAAATGAAAAACATCATTATAAAAGAATAAGAGGATGAAATAGCTAAATAAGGGAGGGTTTAGCATGGAAGACAAAATATAAAGACAATTATTCACATTAAATTCTTAAAATTCATTAAGATTTGAGGCATTTGATAGAATAAACATTTACTCATATACTGTGGTTTTTCTTACAAGGAAATTATCAATTGAAATATGAAACATTCAATGATTTTTCTACAAAATTACAAACTTAACCTATTTTTATTGCATTTCTCATTATTTGAGGGGGTCAATCAAGTAAAACACTAAAATTTTATATTATTATACTCTACAAATCCATTAGCTTTTTGGAAATTGAGGATGGTCAATTGAACCCCCTCAATTGCACTCCTCATCCGCAATTGATTAGCAACCAGATTAATCAAAACATATGTTTAGATTTGGAAAAAGAGTTGAACATTTAGTTATAGTAATATTGAGCTCTTACGAGCTCTTCTCTAATGATATCACCTGTGATGAATTAACTTTTTGGTTAAGGTTTTTGTAAATAAAAATTTATTATAGTTTTTTTTTTGTTAAATTTAAGATAATGTAAGTCTGATAAATATATCATAATAAATAACTTGAACTTGATTTTCTTTTTTTGGTTAAGATTTTTGTAAATAAAAATTTATTATGGTGTTTTTGTTAAATTTAAAGTAATCTGAATCTAATAAACACATCACAATAAAGAACTTAAACTTTACTTTTAACAAAATCTTAGGTAATATAAGTCTAATAGACATATCAAATCTAAAAAATTTGAGTTTAACAAACAATCAAACCCAAGATAACATGGATTTGATAAGTATGTCACACATTCAAGAAACTTGGACTTGCATGCTAAATCTAAAGAACTCGAGCATTACTAAATTCAAAAGCTATATGCTTAATCCTACGTGATCTTATACAATAAAAATATTAAAAATATGATAAATTGTCATATCTATATTCACAGGTATATATAAGGTCTCTTAAGAGACTTATAATACTTATTATCTATTAATTATATATAAGAGATAATTATCTCTTATTAATATAACTAAAAATAGAGGATTTTCTAATTTTTTTTTCTTTGAAAACAAGAATGTTTATGTGATATAAATATCTTGTAAACAATTCAGGTAAGAGATCATAATTTTTATCTCTTAAGACAAAAATATATAGATTTCAGAGTATTAATCGTCTTAAAACTCAATAAAAAATATTTTTGAATTTAAAACTCTTTTAAATAATTTATTTTTTAAAATTACTTAATATATTTTCTATAAATATACTAATTTTATTATCAGACTGTTTTTAAATCTCCTCGATTGGAGTTGTTTTTGTAAGTACTAAAACTTTTATTAGAAACCTAGATTTCCTTGTATTAAAAAGAAAAAAAATTTAACCACTTAAATATATTAATTAACCACCATCTCAAATACTAAATAAAATTTTATTTATGTATCTTAAATTTTAGAATATTATTAATCTATACTTTTAATATGAATAATATGATTTATTAGAATTGAACTCGTCGGTTTGATTACTAAACAAAATCTAAACTAATTTGGTTTGAACGTATGAATCATTGTGCAACTTATTCAATAAAAATCTGAATTGAAGGTTTTAAATTGTAAAAAAAAAAAAAAACCCTTAACTAATAATCTGATTCAGGTTGAACATTAATGATACCACATCAGCACGTGAAAAGAAAAGAAAAGAAAAGAAAGCTGTTGGTGTTGAGGTTGGATGACGAGCCCAATAATCACCTCATGAACCACACTGCACACAACTCGTTTGTTTTTCAAAAATGGCTTATTTTAGATTCTAGATTTATGAGTCAACAAATTAATCAGTAATATGAGCTGGATCCGTTTAAAAGTTATATTAATTATATTTAGACAATTTAACCTAAAAAAAAAAGATGATAAAAAAAATCACTAATTCCACGAGCTTGATTGAAAAAAATAAACCCTGAAAACTAAAGTTTACATAGAACTTAATTTATGACTCCTTAAATAAATATATTTAAAAAAACAATATCTAATCCCTGTACAGGCAGTCCGTAAGCCTCTTCTCAATAAGATCAGTTGCGTCTAGGCCGGTAGCAATGCACTGGGCGCTCCCTTCCCCCACACCGATCCCAAATTCTTCCTCGAGTCCCATTACAACCTCAGCCTGCCCAGAAGAAGATGTCAATAACAGAACAAAGCAAAAAACAGACTCACTTGTTGCAATGAAAATCCCAAGGAGTACCGTGTCGAGAGAATCAGCTCCAAGCGCAGCAAACTCTGATGCTCCGGTGATTGGAGTATCAGTTGATAGTGCCCACTGCTTCTTCACAATTTCACGCCCTCTGTCCACTGTCTATGGTTTGGCCTGCACTGGAAAAGAAATCAGCATCAACAAATCATAATTGCTGGTTTGGTTATATCGTCACATTGATCCTAAGACAGTCAACCGTATTCCCATTGCAAATCCTAGCCCATCACAAGGGTATCTCCCAGGTGGCAAGAAATCATCAAACTGGTACGGCTTGAGCACTGCTGTGGAAAAGATAAAGAAATCAACCATGCTCTTGTTGCAAAGATGATATATTCGATCATCTAGCACAACACCACTTATGTTTACTGGCTGAACAGCAATGGATGCAAAAAAACCTTGAAGAATCCTGACCAATGACCATAAAGCAATTTGTAGCCCCCATTTTACTCTTTACAGTATTTGCAAACATGAAGTGCATGTTTGGAAATGTGTTTTAAAAATATTTTTAAAAAATTTTAATTTTTTTATTTTAAATTAATATATTTTTTATTTTTTAAATCATTTTAATGTGTTGATCTTAAAAATAATTTTTAAAAAATAAAAAAATATTATTAATATATTTTTCTAAGTGAAAAATACTTTTAAAAATAAAGACTCTTGAATACGCTAAAAGTTATAATAAAAAACAATAACAATAGGATGATTTAAAACAAAACTTTATTTCTCCAAATAATAAATATAAAAAAATTATAACACCAACAACTAATGTTGCCCTTTCTATTTGGTTGCTAATTAATGATGTTTCATAATGAGAACTTTAACTTTAATTTTTTATTGCTTGGATAATGAATGATTATATATTCAAGTCCATCTTCTTTTATTCAAAATTAAGGACCTAGATGGTTTTGATAAAGACCTGGATTTCTACAAAATAGTCCTTATTGATAGGATTTTTGAGAATTTTAAATGGTTAAGTTAGTGATTTTATAGTGAGAAGTAGTAAAGGAACATTAGATTCTAAGAATAAAAATATTCATTCTTAGTTCGTATATGATAAATATTGAGAATATATTGTAAAAGAGTGAAGATTATGAACTTATTACCTAAATCGTTTAGAGAGTATTTATAACATTTATGCCTTGAATTTTTTTTCCCAAAGGGGTGAAAGTCTTTTTCTTATTCACATCTAAGTGGGAAAGGAGTCCATTACATCAATATTAAAAGTACTTTGGTTTAGCACACAATCGAGTTTTAGAGAGTTAGGTTTGATATCTTGCCAAACTCATAAGCGCTTGAGCCTTGCACGTAGCCAAGCCGAATAGAGTTGGGTTTAGAACCTTATTTGACCCTTAAGCATCTGGGCTTGTCACGTAGCTAGGTGACATTGGTTCTGATATCTTGCTAGACTTGCAAGTAAGGGCCTGGATCGTAACTGAGCCAAAGAAAGTTGGATTTATCACCTTGCCGGACCTATAAGCACCTAGGCTTGGCACGTAATCGAGCCCAAGAAAGTTGGGTCTAGTTTCTTGCTAAACCCACAAGCGATTGGGTCTAGCACATAGTCGAACCCAAAAGAGTTAGGTCTAGCACGTAGTCGAGCCCAAAGAAAATGGGTTTGGAACCTTATCGGACCTATAAATACTTTATCTTGGCATGTAGTCGAGCCAAAGGGAAATGGATTTTGTATCTTATCTGACTCATAAATACTTAGTCCTAGCATGTAGCTGAGTCTAAAGAAATTGAGTCAGATATTTTGCCAAACTCATAAATGCTTAACCTTAACACATAGTCGAGTTTAAGAGAGTTGGGTCTGGTATCTTATCAAACCCACAAGTGTTTAAGCTTGGTACATAGTTGAGCATAAAGGAGTTAGGTCTAGCACTTTGTTACGCTGATAAGCACTTGGGTTTTGAGGTTTTTTTTGAAATATTTTGGAAAAAATCAGACATTTTAATACTGAATCTATATCATATAGTGTAAAAATACAACCCAATATTAAAAACAATTATAAAAAAACATGCGAACAAATCATAAATATTTTGAAATGACCCTTAAAAGTTTTGGATTTTTTAATATATAATATTATAATATATAT